ACTCGTCATGGTATTTTTGTGCATTCAAATTGCAATTGATAAAATGCAATTGTGTTTGTTGTTACCATAACAACTTTGACATCAGCAAACTGCTCGCCCACACAACGCCATACACGTGGTCTGCAGTTGTGAGGCCGGTTGGATGTACAGCCAAATTCTCTAAAACAACATTGGAGGCGGCTTATGGTATTGAAATTAACATTCAATTATCTGGCAACAGCTCTGGTGGACAATCCTGCAGTCAGCATGCCAATTGCACGCTCCCTTAAAACTTGAGACATCTGTGGCATTGTGTTCTGTGACAAAACCGCACATTTTAGAGTGGCCTTTTATTGTCCCCAGCACAAGGTGCACCTATGTAATGATCATGCTGTTTAGTCAACTTCATGATATGCCACACCTGTCAGGTGGATGGATTATCTTGGCAAAGGAGAAATGCTCACTAACAGGGATGTTAACAAATTTGTGAACAAAATTTGAGATAAATACATTTTTTGTGTTTATGGAACGCTTCTGGGATCTCTTATTTCAACTCATGAATCATGGGACCAACACTTTACATGTTACTTTTATAATTTTGTTCAACACTTTACATGTTACTTTTAGATTTTTGTTCAACACTTTACATGTTACTTTTATATTTTTGTTCAGTATAGAACAAAAATATAAAAGTAACTTGTAAAGTGTTGGTCCCATGTTTTTTTTTATTTTTTTTACTCAGTCCAGCGTTCAACTTACTGTTGTAATAGTAGAATGCCAAGGTGCAATTTCGAAATCGGGTAGTATATCATCATTTTTCCTCTTGTCATGTCAGTCATTGCGGACCTTATAGAGAAATGTTTAACTTGTCCGAAATGTCCAGATCAACTAGCTCATGTCAGCTAACGTTTTTTAGCTAGGTTGTTTTAGCCCATAGATATTTGAGTTACTCAAATATCACATGAATACACATTAGACATGGCAACATGTATAGAATTGCAAGAAAATGATCTTTAAAACAGCTAAATGTTCTCTGAACCCCATGACAAAATGTGTAGAATTGCAGGAAATAAGCTTTAAACCTGCAAAATGTTCTCTCCACCAACAAGAGGGGTGTGAACAGTGCTTGTGCCCATAGAAATGGACATGGCACGTGCAGGTGAGGCGCTGTATGTTTCCCTATGCTGGAAGGGGGCCCTGAGTGAAAAAGTTTGGGAATCCCTGAATAACCAACAGTCAGAAATGTGCGGTGACATTTTGTAACGGGGGACAGTGAATTACTTTGGCGAGGCACAGAGAGAGAAAACGGAATGAGTTGGGGAAGGTTGGGGAATTCTAAAAAATAACTGATGAACAGTCTTAGTGAGCGCAGTTGAGGGCATGTATATGATTCTGTCCAAAAAATGAACAGAAAAGTGTCCTTTTGATCCTACTGATTCATGATCTTGCTTTCTCTCTCTCTCTCTCTCTCTCTCTCTCTCTCTCTCTCTCTCTCTCTCTCTCTCTCTCTCTCTCTCTCTCTCTCTCTTTTCTTTTTCTTTTTCTTTTCTCTACTCTCTCTTTTATCTCTTTCTCAGGGCGAGACATTCCAGCATATTCAGGACATTGTGGTCAGTCTCCTCAGGACCATCAACCGGACGGTCATAACCATGGGTCGTGAACATGCCCTGATCGTGAGTAAACCAAATGAACCCCTAAGCATTAGCCCCACCGGTGACCAGCCCACCCTGCTCCTGGAGAGATAACGTACAGTGGCTTGCGAAAGTATTCACCCCCCTTGGCATTTGTCCTATTTTGTTGCCTAACAACCTGGAATTAAAATTGTATCATTTGATTTACACAACATGCCTACCACTTTGAAGATGCAAAATATTATTTATTGTGTAACAAACAAGAAATAAGACAAAAAAAACAGAACTTGAGCGTGCATAACTATCCCCCCCCCCCCCCCCCCCCCCAAAGTCAATACTTTGTAGAGCCACCTTTTGCAGCAATTACAGCTGCAAGTCTCTTGGGGTATGTCTCTATAAGCTTGGCATATCTAGCCACTGGGATTTTTGCCCATTCTTCAATGCAAAACTGCTCCAGCTCCTTCAAGTTGGATGGGTTCCGCTGGTGTACAGCAATCTTTAAGTCATACCACAGATTCTCAATTGGATTGAGGTCTGTGCTTTGACTAGGCCATTCCAAGACATTTAAATGTTTCCCCTTAAACCGATTGCTTAAGCAGTATGCTTAGGGTCATTGTCCTGCTGGAAGGTGAACCTCCGTCACAGTCTCAAATCTCTGGAAGACTGAAACAGGTTTCCCTCAAGAATTTCCCTGTATTTAGCACCATCCATCATTCCTTCAATTCTGACCAGTTTCCCAGTCCCTGCCAATGAAAAACATCCCCACATGGTGTTCTCGGGGTGATGAGAGGTGTTGGGTTTTCCTTGATGGCCAAAAAGCTCAATTTTTGTCTCATCTGACCAGAGTACCTTCTTCCATATGTTTGGGGAGTCTCCCACATGCCTTTTGGCGAACACCAAACGTGTTTGATATTTTTTTCTTTAAGCAATGGCTTTTTTCTGGCCACTCTTCCGTAAAGCCCAGCTCTGTGGAGTGTATGGCTTAAAGTGGTCCTATGGACAGATACTCCAATCTCTGCTGTGGAGATTTGCAGCTCCTTCAGGGTTATCTTTTGTCTCTTTGTTGCCTCTCTGATTAATGCCCTCCTTGCCTGGTCTGTGAGTTTTGGTGGGCGGCCCTCTCTTGGCAGGTTTGTTATGGTGCCATATTCTTTCAATTTTTTAATAATGGATTTAATGGTGCTCCATGGGATGTTTAAAGTTTGGGATATTTTTTTATAACCCAACCCTGATTTGTGGAAAAGTACAGCTTCGTCCCTGACCTGTTTGGAGAGCTCCTTGGTCTTCATGGTGCCGCTTGCTTGGTGGTGCCCCTTGCTTAGCGGTATTGTAGACTTTGGGGCCTTTCAGAACAGGTGTATATATACTGAGATCATGTGACAGATCATGGGACACTTATATTGCACACAGGTGGACTTTATTTAACTAATTATGTGACTTCTGAAGGTAATTGGTTGCACCAGATCTTATTTAGGGCCTTCATAGCAAAGAGGGTGATTACATATGCAAGCACCACTTTTCCGTTATAATTTTTTTAGGATTTTTTGAAACAAGTTATTTTTTAAATTTCACTTCACCAATTTGGACTATTTTCTGTATGTCCATTACATGAAATCCAAATAAAAATCCAATTAAATTACAGGTTGTAATGCAACAAAATAGGAAATGGGATGAATACTTTTGCAAGGCACTCTATGCAGGGTTTTGCTCCAAACAAGCTGGCTTGGGTTCCCATACTTGCTTCCCTAGTCTCAATTCTACCTCCTACTGTAATTTGTGCACATCTAGATCATCTAGAAGATGACGTTCAGTCCAGCTTTTTGATGGAGTTTCGATCGTAGAGTGCTGACTTACACTGGTTGCTTTCTAAATGATTCTCTTCAGTCCTTTCAGTGTTTCCCAAATTGTTGTTTGGGTCCTGCTGGTGGGTTGTGGCCAATTCAATTTGGAACACGGCTTAAAAATGGAGTTGTTTACTTAGTGTTTACTTTAAGGGTGACAAGCAATTTCCCCAAGCTATAGGTGGGTCTTAACACAGAACGTATTTGGGAACTACTGATTGTTTCGGTCAGTAGACATTCTTTCAGTTTAGTGACCTTTATTATACCCTTTGATATACCACATTATAGCCCTCCCCGGACTCACCCATCCACTTTTACCATTCTTCCATAGTACCACAGCTTCATCCTAAATGGTGGTAGTCAATAGTGTTTTAAGTGGGTCATCATGGGAATAGGGAATTACTGTTCAAGCGGAAATTATGTTCTGATTAAAATACACACTTTTATTGGATCCCAATATAACTATTACAAACAACACAGCAAGAGGAAAAGGAAGAGATAAGCATTGTGGGAGATCACACAGAGGGATGGGAAGATCAATCTATAAAAAAAGCACTGATGTGGCACGTTAGGGTCCGATGCTGATGATTGGTTAAACAGTAAATAGGGTGTGGTCTTGGAAGCAAAGTTTGAGCTTGTTATTGGTTGAGCTTGTGTTTTAGCCAATAGCGCTGTGGAAAAGTGAAAGCTCATAGTGTAGAGTGGATTTAATTGTCTTTTGTTTGTGTGTGTGTGTGTGTGTGCGCGCGCCTGTGTCTGTGCGTGTAAGTGATGTGTTTAGTGCTATACTGTGTGTGTATATTGTTTGTGCTGAGTATGACTCAGTAACCTTTTTGTTGCGTTTTGCGGGAGAATCCTGTCCAGCATTATAGAGTGTTGATTGGTTGCATGGCCGGTCACTCTCTGAAGGGATTGTAGATGGGCTGTTCACTCTGTAGGTCAGGGTTCTTCAATTCCGGTCCTGGAGGGCCGAAACACTTCTGTTTTTTATTTCTACCTGGTAGTTAATTGCACTCACCTGGTGTCCCAGGTCTGAATTAGCCCCTGATTAGAAGGAGAGGATGAAAAACAGAGGTGTCTCGGCCCTCCAGGACCGGAATTGAAGAACCCTGCTGTAGGTAGTAGAATCCCTGTGGAATGTGAATCGATGCTCATCTATGTTCATTCACTGGGACCTCTGACCTAACAGAGTCACCACTGGACACTCTTTAACTGTGTCCCAAATGTGTCCAACCTAGCACAGTAGCACAGTAACTCTGTTGGTCAGGGACAGTCACTCAGTTTAGTGTCTCTTCAAAGTCCAGTAACCAGTGATCCCAAGACTTGAACTCTATAAGTTGGTCCACACCTAAGGTCTCTAAGGTGTAGCATCTCTGTAGCTTAGATACCATAATAGGTGTACAGTTCCTATAGCAACAGCAAAAACACAGGAACATTTGCCATGGTCCATCGACACACACCTGTCCAATCCCCTTGGTAACAGCAGCTCTGAACGTCTCCATGGCGACTGTACCCCCGGCGACGGATGTGTGTGTGTGTGTGTGTGTGTCTACAGCCACCAGAAGCACTTCTTGCGTAGCTTCTTGACACGGGCCTTGGCGCTGGGGCGGGAGGGGGGAGGTTTGGGGACAGGGAGGGGGACATCGTAATCCCCATCTAGAGTCTCCAACACTGGCTGGAACCTCCCCTCCTGCTGCCTGAAGTCATGCTCCACACTGGGGAGAAAGAAAGGGGGGAGAGAGTGCGGGGGGATAGAGGGTGTGAGAGGAGGGTGAGAGAGTGGGGAGGGTGAGAGAGAAGGTGAGAGAGAGAGAGGGAGAAAGAGGTCGAAAGAGAGGGAGCGAGAGGGTGGGAGAGAAGGTGAAATAGGGGGAGTGAGAGAGGGAGAGTGGGAGAGAAGTTGAGAAAGAGGGGGAGAGAGGTTGAGAAAGTTAGACACGTACTCACACATAAATTGCTTGTACTTATGCAAATGGTTTTGATATAAATGCAATTAAGTGCGCACAATAACACAGGCACATAGAAAACACATGTACTCATGCAAGTGCATACCTATGCACCCAATCAGACACACACACACATACTGAAATAATTTCACATTCAAAGCATTCTTGCGCTTCATGCACCACTATATCACAGGCTGGAGAGATGAGAGGAGTGGGAGGAGAGAGAAAGAGAGAGCAAAGGAGAGAGAAGTAGAGAGTCATCCTAAAGTGCTGGAACTAAAAGAGAGAGCTGAGGGAAAAATGTCTTTCTTTTTCAAAGAACTCCCTCCCCTTACCTCATCTCTCTCTCCCTTTCTCTCTTTCTCTCTTTCTTTAAAGTTAGGTTTAGGGTTAGGGGTTAGGGAAAATCTGATTTTGAATGGGAATCAATTGTTTGGTACCCACAACAATAGTAAAACAAACGTGTGTGATGAGATGGGTTGCATAGGGATTAAGCATCTGGAGTTAATCAGGCTTATGATGATGAAGGAAGGACATGAGGATAGATGACATGCGCTTGCACACACTCACACACACACACCCATGTTTGTTTTACTATCCTTGTGGGGACCAAAAATATATTCCCATTCAAAATCCTATGCCCACTCAGTCATCGTATTTGCTCTCTCCTGACAAATGAAACCTCTCAAATGACACAACAGTGAGTGGGAAGAGAGGAGTCTGATAGAATACAAAGGGACCTCTAAAGGAGAAACAGCTGGAGAGAGAGAGAGGAGAAGGGTGAAGATAAGAGGGTTTGATGAGTAATAGAGGGGTAGAAAGGGTGGTTCAAATGATGAGTTGAGAAAAAAAAGATACAGAGAAAGAGGAAAGAGGGGGAGTAAACAGAAAGAGAGCCATACGAGGGAGAGGAAGAGGTGAGGAAGGTTAGAATGTCCCGGAAAAGAGGAGAAATAAAGAGACCGGAAAACATGAAAGAGAGGTAAAAGCACAGATGCAGACGCAGGGGAGAGAATAAATATGAATAAATGATAAAGCACGGGAGAGGAGTGCTACCACTGAAACCACACATGCACGCATACACACACAAATGTAAAGAAATAAGTGTTGAACCTGGCCTACACTTTCCTTGCTGTGCAGTATGTGCTTTTAGGGTGTTTTAAAGAACTAGGCATGTTATACAGGGTACAGAGGTAAACAAGAGACAAAAGAAGAGAGCTCAGCCCGAGAAGCCCCTAGCACAGGATTGAGGCGAGAGTCGAGATCTCCGCAGGATCTCCTCTCTATATCGTACTCTCGATACTGAGCTATCTCCTGATATATCTAGCATCTCCTTCTACTGTCCCTCTATCAATCTCTCTCTCTCTCTCTCATCTGCTCTCTCTCTCTCTCTTCTCGTCTCTCTCTCTCTTCTCTCTTCTCTCTCTCTCTCGTCTCTCTCTCTCTCTCTCTCTGCTCTCTTTCCTCAGTTTTTCTCTCTCTTCTCTCTCTCTCGTTCCCTCTATTGTTTAGGGGATTACTCCTGAGTTGGCAAAGCTGCTCCTCTTAATTGATTCCCACGGCATGCAGATTTTTTTTTTTCTGTCAGAACTTGCCTTTCTCTGTTTCTCTGTCACACAGATTAATTAGATTTGACAATACAAAACATCTGCAGGCAAGAAACATCAAACTGTCGTTTTCCAGCTTAAATCATGAAGAGGGAAGCCTCCATCCCACGCTCTCTCCTCTTTTTCACTCTCTCTTCTACACACTCATCCCTCCATCTCCTCTGTGTCCCGCTGAGTGTGTGATAACACCATTACTGTCCCAACAAACAAATGACATGCGTGTGTATGTTTGTGTGTTTCATATCCACAAAATAATGATTGCCGTCTCCCAATGGCCTCAGAATGACTGTAAAGTGTGTGAATGACTGTAATGATCCTTCTCTTCTGTTTAGATTAACGGTATGTTCGTTTCCATGTGTGTACAGTATGTGAGTGTGATTGTGTGTGTGGCCCTGAGCTGCTTTCTGTGGCCCTGAGCTGCTTTCAGTGGCCCTGGGGGGCCGGTATCTCTGCCACCCTTCCCTCCGGTCCTAATTATTCCTGATTAATTTTATTCCTGCTGTAGCTAATGCTGTTCCTGGTTACAGAGGAGAGGAGGAGGGGATCTGGTGGGCTGATAGCGAGCTAGCAAAGAGCTGCATGTCCTGACTGGTATGATATGATAAAACAGGATTGGCTAGGGTCTGGGGAGGAGCTCTGATTTGGTTAAAGTTTGAGTCCTTAATTGAAACAATAACAAAGTGATCACCCCCACCTCTGTTTGGGTAAAAAGCTGAGGGATGGGCCTGGAGAAATGTAATCACTCTCAAATGCATAGACAGAGCTATGGATGCAAGGAAAGACCATCCATTATATGAAAATGATAATTTTAACCATGTTTTGAGGTTGTACAGTGTTTGATACATTTACGTTGCTTACAAACATTGAGTAAAACAAGCTTATTAAAGCAGCACCCCACACCTCTCTGATTCAGAGGGGTTGGGTTAAACGTGGAAGACACATTTCAGTTGAATGCATTCAGTTGTACAACTGACTAGGTATCCACCTTTCCCTTATATTTTGGGTTCTGATTGGGTACAACAGTTAAACTAAGCTCACGAGGCATTTATAAGTTATATTCTTTAATAATCAATGTTTATCATTCATTTATAAGTCCAAAAATGGATGTAGCAACTAAGGATTCTATCTTTAATCACTAATTTAGGTCACATCCATACAGAGTATGGAGAGGGAGGTGGAGAATGCTTATGTTGCTGTTGGATACTTTGTAGGGCGTTTGTACAGGGCAGTATCTGACTAGGAGAATGTCTTGTTGTTCCTGTAGATTACGTCATGAGGACATTTACCTGTTGGCAGTGCCGGTTCCTACTCAAATTTACATGCTTACTTATTTCTCCTGGCCGAGATGACCTTACGCAATGCCGGTAATGAAGAAGATGAAGGAAAGGGACTCCAAGCTAGGCTGAAAAGACGGGCTACACAGCCTCCTCTTCCTTGTATCCTGGTGGCTAATGTCCAATTGCTGGATTTTTGTTTTACTTTGAACTTAGAGCTATGCTTCAATCGCAGAGGAACATCAGGGAATGCTGTGTCTTTGTTTTTACTGATCTGTGGCTTACAGACAATTCACTCGACTCTGCTATTTAACCTGATAGCTTCTCCATATTCCGAATGGATAAGGCTTAAACGGCGGCTTCTGGTAAGAGTCGGAAGGGAGGGGTATGTTTCCTCATAAAGAATTCCTGGTGTACCGAAGTTGAAAACGTTGCGAAATCCTGTTAATCAGAACTGGAGTTTTTGATGCTAAAATGCCGACCCCAGTATATGCCAAGGGAATTCACGTGGGTTATTATCACAGCTGTGTACATACCTCCACAAGCAAACACCAAGGCGGCACTCATCAAACTCAGCCATACCCCGCCACTATTTCGGCCAATCAGATCATGTCTCTCTGTTCCTACTCCCTGCCTACAAGCAGCAACTCAAGAGGGAGCCACCAACACAGAGAATAGTGAGGCGCTGGACAGAGGAGGCAGACTTGATGCTGCAGGATTGTTTTGAGAATACTATTTGGAATATGTGCAAAGATTCATCCATCTAGGACTCATCCATCAACATTGAGGAATATACAATACATCGTCAGTCACCGGCTCCATTAACCTCTACGGGATCGGTGTCCCTTATACGAGACGGTTGTTGCTCAATATGCGATATGTGACTAGAATTGTGTTGTAAACAATTTTCTGGGACATAGACATCTTATATGGGCAAAAAGCTTAAATTCTTGTTAATCTTGTTTGAAACATTTCTTATATTCAAATGTAGGAACTGGGTTCTACAGTTCGACCTCTGACTCCACACCCACCCCGCCCGGCCATCTAGATGTGTGAAGGTTAGCGTCTTTTCTGTAGGGAAGCTAATGATCCATCATTTATGACAAACCTGGGAGTGTGCGAACTTACATTTTGTATTACCATAGAATTTTTGTATGTTCTCTATAGTTATGTACTTGAAAACCAATTCGGCACATTTGGGAAAACACCTGGCAGACTTGATACAAAATATTGTGTAGTGATGTAATTCTTCACTGGATCAGTCTGAAACGTTGCACACACACTGCTGCCATCTGGTGGACAACATCTAAATTACATGTAGAATCCTACATCACTGTCTGGCCTTTCTCTTGTATTTCAAAGATGATGGAACAAATAAATATATAGAAAACACATGTTTTTTTGTTTGTATTATCTTTTACCAGATCTAATGTGTAATATTCTCCTAAATCAATTTCACATTTCCACAAACTTCAAAGTGTTTCCTTTCAAATGATATCAAGAATATGCAATACCTTGCTTCAGGACCTGAGCTACAGTTAGATTTGTGTATGTAATTTTAGGCGTGAATTGAAAAAAAAAGGGTCAGATCCTTAAGAGGTTTTAAGAAATGTGTTGATGATGTTGTACCTACAATAACATTTACATTTTAGTCATTTAGCAGACGCTCTTATCCAGAGCGACTTACAGTTAGTGAATACATATATTTTTTTTATACTGGCCCCCCGTGGGAATCGAACCCACAACCCTGGCGTTGCAAACGCCATGCTCTATCAACTGAGCTACATCCCTGCCGGCCATTCCCTCCCCTACCCTGGACCAATTGTGCGCCGCCCATGAGTCTCCCGGTCGCGGCCGGCTGCGACAGAGCCTGGATTCGAACCAGGATCTCTAGTGGCACAGTTAGCACTGCGATGCAGTGCCTTAGACCACTGCGCCACTCAGGAGCCTGCCTGGATGAACGGAGATATCTGTACAATGCTGAGAGCCCATACTGCAGCATTCAATGTCTGCAGAACGAACTCCGATGACTCGGTGGCGTGTGACACAAATCCAGTAGGGATGCAAAAATACATTTTGTTGGACGATATATACCAAAGTGTATCCTGTACGTACAACTAATAAAACTTGAAACTGAAACCATCTGCTAGTGGTTCGGGTGTACACTGGGTTGTGTGGGTTGTGTGGGTTGTGTATACGATTATATTAGTCAACTGTACCTGTAGATATTATGGGGATTTTGATATATAAAAAGAAGTGAAGTCAAAGTGAAATGGTATTATTATTATAATGAATGTGGTATTAAGAAGGTGTTTTACCTGTATATGATACAGGCAGTCTTCTGACAGGTGGGGCAGTTGTTGATATCCTGTCCAGTTCTGTAAGAGCAGCGCCTAACACAACAACAACAAGAAGAACACACACATCAGGATGAGGAGGAAAACACAGGATAGCATCATTAGTACTACACCAAACAAACAGACAGACACACATTCACACACAGAACACACAGACACAAAGGGAGCACAAGATACAAACTTAAAAACAGCACTAAAACTTTAGCACTGCGCCAAACACACACACACACACACGCGCGCACACACATGCACACGCACTCACACACATGCACACGCGCACACACACACAGACACCACAGAGGAACAGTGTATATCCTGTTGTTGGGAGTCTTGCTGTGCCCCTGGAACATGAATTGCCTGTCTTCAATGATAATCTGGGAGGGATTAGTTTGGTATTATAGCGAGCTGTCAACCCAAGAGGAACTGACAGAGAGAAGAGGGCGGGAGGGAGGGAAGGAGGAGTGGAGAGAAGGAGATGAGAAAGAAAAAGTTGAGGAGTGGGTAGAAGAGCAGAGAGGAGAGAGGGAAAATAAGAGAGGGGGTGCAGTCTGTTGTAGGGGATCAGGGGTGAGAGGGAGAGGGGGGACAGAGAGGTGAGAAGACAGGTGATGGTAGAGAGAAAGCCGAACAGACTGAGAGAGATGAGAGAGTGATGGACTGATTGACAGCAGAGGTAGAGAGGGTGAGTGGAATATAGTGAAAGGACAGAGGGTAGGGGAGAGAGGAGCGGAGGAGAAGTCAGCTCTATATTATATGGAGGAAGAAGTGATTCATATCAGGAGAGAAGGAAAGAAAGAGGGTGGTAATTAAAGATGGAGGGATGAAGAGGGAGATAGGGAGGGGGATGGGTGGAGGTAAAAAGCGATGAATAGCATTCTTCAAGTAGAACAATGTGAATGAGGAGAAAGGAGAATGGGGACAAAGAAGAAGTAGAAAATTGAACCATTTCCAAAATGAGATAGTGGGAGAGTGTTTGATTTGTGTGAGAGAAAGAAGATAGAAATAGAAACGAAGAGAACGAGATGAGGGAGGGAGGGAAAGAGAGAGGAGACAAATGAAGCGGAGAAGGAAAGAGAATGAGAGAGGGAGTGGTAGATATCTTCTGTTGATCTTAAGGCCTGAGGGAGCAGCCATGACATAAGGGAGGAGTTCTGCCTGTAATTATATAGACCATATGATAGAATGCATACAAAGTCAGAGCAGTGAAATACAACATGAAGGAACTGATATTTACTTTTATACAGCAGGGTTTAGAAAGGAGTTCTGCACACATATCCCTATGGATGTTCTGCTGTGCTCTGTAATACTGCAGCAATAACTTACTGCATACAGTACATCACAGCCCCTGCAATACTTCCATGACCTGACATTTAAAGTTCATTACAAAGTTGAAAGCATGTCAGTTTACATTGGAGTTAAACACACACAGATCCTGCCGTGGTACTCCCATACATTCTCACACACCATCCTTTCTCCCTCTCTTGCACACTCAATCAGTCTCTCTCTCACTCACTCTCCCTTTCACTCTCCCTTTCTCTTTAACTCTTCCTCTCTCTTTCACCCTTTCTCTCACTCACTCACACACACACACACACACACACACGCACACACACACACACACACACACACACACACACACGCACACACGCATACACACACACACACACCCCTCCTTCCCTGCTCCCCCCCTTTCTCACCCTTCGCTGAGGGCCTTGCTCTTCTCCAGGTCTTGGATAACGTTGAGGAGGACTTTGATCTTCTCCTGGTTGGAGAGCAGACTCTCCTCCACGCTGTGAAGATGCCGGTGGAGGCCCCCCGACACACACCCCTGTATCCCACCTGTAACCCCCACCTGGACGCCTGACTGCACCCCTGCCAGACCCCCTGGTGCCCCATTGCAATGTGGGGCCACATTGGGAGCATGCAGAGCATTTGCATCTTTTGATGGGGCAGGGGTTTTGGAGTCTTCTATTTTGATTGGCTGTGCTGGTGGTATTTTGGGGAGCAGGGAGGGGGTGAGGGGTGTATGTTTGGGTTGGGTCTGATGTACAGGGTGTGCTGGTTTTGGGTTCACCTGGACAGGGTGGGGCGGGTTGGGGGAGTTTTTAGGTGAGAGAGGGGCCGTAGCCAAGGATTTTTTGCCTGTGAGGAGGACTGGGGGTGGTGGCTTGGGGGTGACTTGTATAGATGAGTTTGGTGGTGTGTGTTGGTTGTCAGATGACATGTCTGTGTTTTTGTCTGGAAAAGGCTGTATAGCTGGAGTATATGGATTTTTTGTGGATTTGTTTTGCGTAGATGTGTGTTTCTCTGTGGTGTGTGAGTGTGTGTCTGTTGTCTGAGTGTGTGTTTCTTTCTGATGTAACCTGGGTAACCTGGGTTCTGGGTCTGTATGTGTGTGTTGTGTATCCTTAGTGTTGGAGCATGTGGGCACAGGTGAATCTTTCGTGAGCGTGTGTGTCTTTTGGGTTGTGTGTGGAGAGGGCAATGTCTGAGTTTGTGTTTGAGTGTTCTTCAGAGTTTTGTGTTGGGTTGGTGGTGTGTGTGTGTGTGTGTTCAGTACAGGGGAGTCTTTCCGGTTCTGGTTGGGGAGTACGGACTGTTTCCGGGGAGGATTCGGGAGGGTCTGGCTTTCTGTGAACTTATTGGCCGCTCGCCTGCGGCATGCAGTTGCCATGCAAGTGGGTGGGACCTGGGACTGTCTACGCCCACAGGTTCCACAGAGGCGGGGCGATGATGATGTCATCATTCTACAGGGCCTTGGAGGCGTGGCATGAGAGCTCACAGACTGAGACACACTCCCTGACCTCAGCACAGGGCGAGACTCTTCCCCTCTCAGTGACTGGACCCTCCTCCTCTCTCTGATTGGCTTGTTCCCCTCAGCACCCTCAGTACATACCCCGCCCACCACCTCAGGGGCGACCACACTACCATTGGTGTATCGAGACGTCCGTTTCCCGCTAGGCCTGTGACCAGACTCCCTGGGATTAGTCCTTATGGCTTTGATCTGACAGTAGATCCCACCCCCTGACCCCTTTGACCCCATGTCGTCCTGTGTCAGACTGTTGATCGCATTCTGACTCGTCTCCTTGGAAACGGCAAATCCACCTCTGCCGCCACTGCTGCCCGAGTCACACAAAAAAACTGTTTCTGAGGGCATGGTCAATGCCGTGGTGACATGGTTGTTGCGCCACCTTGTCTCTGGGTGCTGCGTGCTGGTTGGCTGGTTGAGTTTGATTGACGGGAGGGTCCTAAGGCCAGGGGAGGTCTGCACCCCCACGCTGCACAGCGGCCCCCATCGCCCCCCTGCCAGGGGCACCCCCAGCGCAGGCACTGGATTGGTCGGATCAGCCACCCTTCTACCCATAGCCCCAGCCGATTGGCTCAGCCCCCAGAGGAGCTGGAAGAGGAGGAGCCACTCTGTGACATCACAGTGGGGGGAGGCGGTCTTATATCTGAGTGGAGAGAGGAGTTACTGGTCTCTGTTTTATCCAAGTGTGAAGAGTGTTACAGAGAGAGAGAGAGAGAGAGAGAGAGAGATGTATAAAGAGAGAGTATGAGTTAGTGTGAGAGTACTGTTAATATTTTGCCATAGAATCCATGGTGGTCACAATTCCGCCTCTGTCACTAGTATGACATCACCATTCAGTCTGACGATTGGTCCTCATGCCTCTGGGTCATTAATGAACATGTGATTCCGTTTTTTATTGGATGAGAGAATAAAGGTGTAGCAGTTCTTTCATCCATCTCTTTTTCACTCTGCGGAAAGAAGAGAAGAGACTGGTTTAGCTGAAACCATTACAGCTCCAGTACCACTTCACCTGCTGCATGGCTGCAGACTGGTCAATACCTTCATATCACTCCATAATCACTCTCTCCACTCCAGGTGTCCCAAATGACACCCTATATGGGCAAACCTTTTGGCTCAAGGGCCACATTGAGTTTTTGAAACCAAGTGAAGGGCCACATACTATATGCGTGACAAAACATGTGAAGCCTTTATTCATTTTCTCATTGACACGCAACTACTTGTGTACTGTAGGTGTACAAAAGCTTGCAGAACAATTCTACCCTTGTACCATCTCTCCCCTTATTTTTTGTGAAAACATTTTCCACAACATTTTCACAAAATTGACAGATTGACACAGTCAAACACACACAGATCCTGCATCTTTACCCTTGTAAAGTACAATCAAACTTACAGTCACAATATGCAAACTTAAAAATAGATATACAGTTGAAGTCAGAAGTTTACATACACCTTAGCCAAATACATTTGAACTCAGTTTTTCACAATTCCTGACATTTAATCCTAGTAAAAATTCCCTGTCTGAGGCCATTTAGGATCACCACATTATTTTAAGAATGTGAAATGTCAGAATAATAATAGAGAGAATGATTTGTTTCAGCTTTTATTTATTTCATCACATTCCCAGTGGGTCGGAAGTTTACATACACTCAATTAGTATTTGGAGCAGTGGCTTCTTCCTTGCTGAGCATCCTTTCAGGTTATGTCGATATAGGACTCGTTTTACTGTGGTTATAGATACTTTTGTACATGTTTCCTCCAGCATCTTCACAAGGTCCTTTGCTGTTGTTCTGCGATTGATTTGCACTTTTCGCACTAAAGTACGTTCTTCTCTAGGAGACAGAAAGCGTCTCCTTCCTGAGCGGTATGACGGCTGCGTGGTCCCATGGTGTTTATACTTGCGTACTATTGTTTGTACAGATGAACGTGGTACCTTCAGGCATTTGGAAATTGCTCCCAAGGATGAACCAGACTTGTGGAGGTCTACCATTTTTTTTCTGAGGTCTTGGCTGATTTCTTTTGATTTTCCCATGATGTCAAGCAAAGTGGCACTGAATGTGAAGGCCTTGAAAGACATCCACAGGTACACCTCCAATTGACTCAAATTATGTCAATTAGCCTATCAGAAGCTTCTAAAGCCATGACATCATTTTCTGGAATTTTCCATGCTGTTTAAAGGCACAGTCAACTTAGTGTATGTAAACTTCTGACCAACTGGAATTGTGATACAGTGAATTATAAGTGAAATAATCTGTCTGTAAACAATTGTTGGGAAAAATTACTATAGTTTGTTAACAAGAAATTTGTGGAGTGGTTGAAAAACAAGTTTTAATGACTCCAACCTAAGTGTATATAAACTTCCGACTTCAACTGTATATTATATGACTTGATACATGCAAAATGTAACAGCAGATGTGTAAAAAAACTATTCTAAAATTTGAGTGAAACATATGGTAATAGCATCCGTTTCATTTGGGATGGTCTGTTTTTTAAAGCATATTAAGGAACAATTCTCATCTCCATTGTGAGACATACAGTGAGGGAAAAAAGTATTTGATCCCCTGCTGATTTTGTACGTTTGCCGACTGACAAAGACATGATCAGTCTATCATTTTAATGGTAGGTTTATTTGAACAGTGAGGGACAGAATAACAACAACAAAATCCAGAAAAACGCATGTCAAAAATGTTATAAATTGATTTGCATTTTAATGAGGGAAATAAGTATTTGACCCCTCTGCAAAACATTACTTAGTACTAGGTGGCAAAACCCTTGTTGGCAATCAGAGGTCAGACGTTTCTTGTAGTTGGCCACCAGGTTTGCACACATCTCAGGAGGGATTTTGTCCCACTCCTCTTTGCAGATCTTCTCCAAGTCATTAAGGTTTCGAGGCTGACGTTTGGCAACTCGAACCTTCAGCTCCCTCCACAGATTTTTTATGGGATTAATGTCTGGAGACTGGCTAGGCCACTCCAGGACCTTAATGTGCTTCTTCTTGAGCCACTCCTTTGTTGCCTTGGCTGTGTGTTTTGGGTCATTGTCATGCTGGAATACCCATTCACAACCCATGTTCAATGCCCTGGCTGAGAGAAGGAGGTTCTCACCCAAGATTTGACGGTACATGGCCCCGTCCATCGTCCCTTTGATGCGGTGAAGTTGTCCTTTCCCCTTAGCAGAAAAACACCCCCAAAACAAAATGTTTCCACCTCCATGTTTGACGGTGGGGATGGTGTTCTTGGGGTCATAGGCAGCATTCCTCCTCCTCCAAACACGGTGAGTTGAGTTGATGCCAAAGAGCTCGATTTTGGTCTCATCTGACCACAACACTTTCACCCAGTTCTCCTCTGAATCATTCAGATGTTCATTGGCAAACTTCAGACGGGCCTGTATATGTGCTTTCTTGAGCAGGGGGACCTTGCGGGCGCTGCAGGATTTCAGTCCTTCACGGCGTAGTGTGTTACCAATTATTTTCTTGGTGACTATGGTCCCAGCTGCCTTGAGATCATTGACAATATCCTCCCGTGTAGTTCTGGGCTGATTCCTCACCGTTCTCATAATCATTGCAACTCCACGAGGTGAGATCTTGCATGGAGCCCCAGGCCGAGGGAGATTGACAGTTATTTTGTGTTTCTTCCATTTGCGAATAATCGCACCAACTGTTGTCACCTTCTCACCAAGCTGCTTGGCGATGGTCTTGTAGCCCATTCCAGCCTTGTGTAGGTCTACAATCTTGTCCCTGACATCCTTGGAGAGCTCTTTGGTCTTGGTCATGGTGGAGAGTTTGGAATCTGATTGATTGATTGCTTCTGTGGACAGTTGTCTTTTATACAGGTAACAAGCTGAGATTAGGAGCACTCCCTTTAAGAGTGTGCTCCTAATTTCAGCTCGTTACCTGTATAAAAGACACTTGGGAGCCAGAAATCTTTCTGATTGAGAGGGGGTCAAATACTTATTTCCCTCATTAAAATGCAAATCAATTTATAACATTTTTGACATGCGTTTTTCTGGATTTTTTTGTTGTTATTCTGTCTCTCACTGTTCAAATAAACCTACCATTAAAATTATATGCTGATAATTTCTTTGTCAGTGGGCAAACGTACAAAATCAGCAGGGGATCAAATACGTTTTTTCCCTCACTGTATTTACAGTTATCCAATCACCTCAGCCCAAATCTGACTGATTAGTTATTACCTGTATCCAAGTGCATTGCTGGATAATTCTCACTGCATAACCATCACCATGAAAAAGCATAATCCTTGCCTACCCCAGTCACGTTATTCAAGTCTTAATGTGAACAATGGGTCTGGTCACCTCTCTTGGCAAGGGCATCAAAGTCTGGTGTCATCTTTGATGTAGAGATTCTCAGAACAGCTGACAAGTGGTAATTTGTTAAATTTGACCTGTGACAGGATTTGTTGTAATTCATGACTGAGAACGTTTGTTCACACACACATGTGGACCCGAATAAAACAAGCATCCTTTGGGTGTGCCTTTTAATGTTTGGAAACTTTGTTTCATTTAGTGAGCCATAGAACTGGTCTATTGTTGCTGTTTTGTACTTCTTCAAAGCGCTGTCACATTGGATGTCGATTAGCTCCAATTGTGTGTCTGGTGGTGCTTTCTCACTGTCGAAAGACGGGGCATGATACAAGCTCCAGCTCAGTCTCAATCTTGGTGAAGACTGAGAAGCGGCGGGAAAACTCAGCATGCAGGTCGATCAAAGTACTACTGTATGTCTCAGTGCAGCACTGCGATGTGGGCCAGTTCAGTGCGGCCAGTGTCAGAAAATGAGCAAGAGACCGGCTGCTCATTTGTCTGGAGAACAACATATGTTTGGTCTTGAATGCTTTCACGTTAGAAAACAGTTCAAACACAATTTCCCTGCAGTTTCACATTTAGATCGTTCAGATGCCCCTATATGTCTGCACCGAAAGCAAAGTCGCCCTTCCAGTCTGTCTTTCAACTCGGAGAAGTCGTCAGCTTTACCAACCGTATCAAGGAACATACCTATCTCCCCACTCAGTTCCCACACATGGCGAAATACTTTTAGATTTGGTGATCCATCTGTTGTGACATTTGTCCGTTTGCTCCACGATAGATTCATTTTTTTTCAATCAGGCAGACACCCTGTCATATAAGTCAGAGTCCCTGGTTGTTCCCATCATTGATTCCATCGAAAGAAGTTCCTCTGTTATTTCAAAGTTCGCATTTATTCCTCTGACACACGACATTCAGAGTCCACTTTTCTCATTTTCGCAGCACTCATTTTTTACGTCAAAAGTCGTCAAGCAATGAAGTGGTTATGATGACTTGCCCTATGCCCTTTATAGTAGGTCTACACTATATAGGTAACAGTGTGCCATTTGCGACACCCCCACCATACACACACTGAATGTACCGTTTCTGATTTTTTCACAGGTGCAGCAAAATGCTTGTTATTACCTAGCAATAAAAAACAAAAAACAAAAAAATTATAATATCAGAACGAGCAATGTCAGAGTCCAGAACATACTCATATATACATATCATTCATGTTTTTAAAGTGTTTTTAGGTTCTCTCTGAGAAAGGAAGTGCCCGGGTGGGAGGTGTCAGTGTGTGTCTGTCTGGGAGGCTTGTGAGATGTCGTTAGCATGTTAGCATGCAGCGCTAATGGCCTCATTAGCCTCTGACCGAGGGGTGCTAGCATCAGACACCACCCATTACTAACTGCTACCATGGCAACAGGTGTCCCATGACAGGAAGTATAACGGGTCAAGACTCAGCGTGACGGGCAATCGTGTCGACCTTTGTGTTTGTGTGTGTGTGCGTGCGTGCGTGAACGTTTGCGTGAGTGTACATGAGTACATGACAGTATGTACATGTTCGTTTCTGAAAGGCATACTGTTTCTGCAGATAAATGTTTTGACAGAGATATTTCATTTTTTGAAAAGTCTGGCAAGGACATCTTTCGAGAGTCTGTGTGAGAGAGAGAGGCATATTGAGAAGATGAATATTTTGTGCGTGAGTCCTGAGAGACTTGGCTGTGGGACTTGGACTGTTTAACTCTATTTAAAGTAATTTCTCTGTAGTTAATTTTTTTGGAATAGTCTTTCCTCAGTCACACACATTCAGACACCTGCTGCTGCAGAGAATCTAATCAATCTCCACACACATGTCTGTTCCTATTATTCTGTATCTACTGTACAATATGGTGTGTGTCCTGACCTGCCATGTTTTGCTTTACCCTTTCGTCAATAGCCAGCATACAAACCCTTGAGCCTGACCTTTGAACCCTGGTTACTATCAATAGAGCAGCCGACCTTATCCTCAAAGCTTATACACACACACATATATATACATACACACAGTGCATTTGGAAAGTATTCAGACCCCTTCCCTTTTCCCACATTTTCTTACGTTACAGCTTTATTCTAAAATTGATGAAATCGTCCCCCTCCTTAAACTACACACAATACCCCATAATGACAAAGCAAAAACAGGTTTTTAGAATTTTGGCAGTACATCCAACTGGCCTCACGACTACAGTGTATGGCGTTGTGTGGGCGAGCAGTTTGCTGATGTCAATGTTGTGAACAGAGTGTCCCATGATTGTGGTGGGGTTATGGTATGGGCAGGCATAAGCTACGAACAATGAACACAATTGCATTTTATCAATGGCAATTTCAATGCACAAAAACACCATGACGAGATCCTGAGTCCCATTGTGAGTCCTATTTTTTCTTTAAAGGTATCTTTGAGCAACAGATGCATATCTGTATACCCAGTCATTTGAAATCCATAGATTAGGGCCTAATTAGTTTATTTTAATTGACTGATTTCCTCATACGAACTGTAACTCAGTAAAATGGGATGTAGCTCAGTTGGTAGAGCAACCCAGGGTTGTGGGTTCGATTCCCACGGGGGGCCAGTATGAAAAATAAAAAATAAATAATGTATGCACTCACTAACTGTAAGTCGCTCTGGATAAGAGCGTCTGCTAAATGACGTAAATATAAATGTAAAATCAATGAAATTGTTGCATGTTGCGTTTAGATTTTTGTTCAGTATACAGTACCAGTCAAAGGTTTGGACACACCTTGTCATTCAAGGGTTTTTCTTAATTTTTATTATTTTCTACATTATAGAATAATAGTGAAGACATCAGAACTATGAAATAACACATTTATAACACATAAAAGTGTTAAACAAATCAAAATATTTGTTACATTTGAGATTCGTCAAATAGCCACCCTTTGCCTTGATGACAGCTTTGCACACTCTTGGCATTCTCTCAACCAGCTTCACCAGGAATGCTTTTCCAACAGTCTTGAAGGAGTTCCCACATAGGCTGAGCACTTGTTGGCTGCTTTTCCTTCACTCTGCGGTCCGACTCAATTTGGTTGAGGTCGGGCGATTGTGGAGGCCAGGTCATCTGATGCAGCACTCATTCACTCTCCTTCTTGGTAAAATAGCCCTTACACAGCCTGGAGGTGTGTTGGGTCATTGTCCTGTTGAAAAACAAATGATAGTCCCACTAAGCCCAAACCAGATGGGATGGCATATCACTGCAGAATGCTGTGGTAGCCATGCTGGTTGAGTGTGCCTTGAAATCTAAATAATTCACAGACAGTGTCACCAGCAAAGCACCCCCACACCATAACACCTCCTTTCAAGTTCTTGAAATGTTCCAGATTGACTGACCTTCATGTCTTAAAGTAAGAATGGACTGTCTTTTCTCTTTGCTTATTTGAGCTGTTTTTGCCGTAATATGGACTTGGTCTTTTACCAAATAGGGCTATCTTCTGTATACCACCCCTACCTTGTCACAACACAACTGATTGGCTCATACGCATTAAGAAGGAAATAAATTCCACAAATTAACTTTTAAGAAGGCACCCCATGAAGCTGGTTGACAGAATGCCAAGCATGTACAAAGCTGTCATCAAGGCAAAAGGTGGCTATTTGAATCTCAAATATAAAATATATTTGGATTTATTTAAATATTTTTTTGGTTACTAAATGATTCCATATGTGTTATTTCATAGTTTTGATGTCTTCACTATTGTTCTACAATGTAGAAAATAGTAAAAAGAAAGAAAAACCCTTGAATGAGTAGGTGTTCTAAATCTTTGGCAGCGATTGCAGCCTCGAGTCTTCTTGGGTATGACGCTACAAACTTGAAACACCTGTATTTGGGGACTTTCTAACATTCTTCTCTGCAGATCTTCTCAAGCTCTGTCAGGTTGGATGGGGAGCGTCGCTGCACAGCTATTTTCAGGTCTCTCCAGAGATGTTTGAACGGGTTCTATTCCGGGCTTTTCTGGGTCACTCAAGGACATTCAGAGACTTGTCCTGAAGCCACTCCTGCGTTGTCTTGGCTGTGTGCTTAGGGTCATTGTCCTGTTGGAAGGTGAACCTTCGCCCCAGTCTGAGGTCCTGAGCGCTGTGGATCAGGTTTTCATCAAGGATCTATCTGTACTTTGCTCCATTCATCTTTCCCTCGATCCTGACTAGTAGGGATGGTATTGGCCAGGTGATGAGCTGTGCCTGGTTTCCTCCAGACGTGACGCTTGGCATTCAAGCCAAAGGATCAGATAATCTTGTTTCTCATGGTCTGAGAGTCCTTTAGGTGCCTTTTGGCAAACTCCAAGCGGGCTGTCATGTGCCTTTTACTGAGGAGTGACGTCCATCTGGCCACTCTACCATAAAGAACTGATTGGTGGGGTGCTGTAGAGATGGTTGTCCTTCTGGAAGTTTCTCCCATCTCCACAGAGGAACTCTGGAGCACTGTCAGAGTTACCATCGGGTTCTTGGTCACCTCCCTGACCAAGGCCCTTCTCCACATATTGCTCAATTTGGCCAGGCGGCAAGCTCTAGGAAGAGTCGTGGTGGTTCCAAACTTCTTCCATTTAAGATTATTGGAGGCCACTGTGTTGTTGGGGATGCTGCAGAAATGTTTTGTTGCCCTTCCTCAGATGTGTGCCTCGACACAATCCTGTCTCGGAGCTCGACAGACAATTCCTTCGACCTCATGGCTTGGTTTTTGCTCTGACATGCACTGTCAACGGTGTCACCTTATATAGACAGGTGTGTGCCTTTCTAAATCATGTCAAATCAACTGAATTTACCCCAGGTGGACTCCAGTCAAGTTGTAGAAACATCTCAAGGATGATCAATGGAAACAGGATGCACCTGAGCTCAATTTCAACACCCAAATAGCTACCGACTTGATCCATGACCTTTTATCCCAGGCTGAGACAGAGTCACCTGAAGCAGGAAAGCTGATTATGGGAGACGTTATCATGTGCAGTCTATCTGAACACTTACCATCATATCAGCAATATGTTACATGTCTTCCCCAAAATGAAGCCGGTCTTGACCTCCGTTATGGTAACATCCCAGGTGCATATTTTTCCAAGGCACTACCCAATCTTGGGGGTTCGGATCATAACATGGTTCAGCACATCCCAGTCTACAAACTGTGTTTGCAGTGAGAGAAGGCTAGAAAGGTGGAGATGAACAGCTGGACTCCTGAAGCTAGTGAAGTCCTCCAGGACTGTTCTGAGTCCACTGACTGGGCGGCCCTGACAGACAGTGCCTATGACCTGGAAGAGGCAGCGGATACTGTCTCTGAGTACATCCGTTTCTGTGAGGATCTCATTATTCCCAAAAAGAAAGTCAACATCTTCTCCAATAATAAACCGTGTGTAACTCAGGAATTAAAAGAGCTCCTCGACCAGAAAAAAATAGTGTTTAAATCAGGTGGCAGTAAAGAGGAAAGGAAAAATATTCAGAGGCGACTCAAAAGCAAAATCAAGGAGTGCAAGGCAGCATACAAAGACAAATTAGAAAACCTTTTCAAGGACAAGTTCAGTAGGAAAGCCTGGCAAGGGCTACAAACCATCACAGGCTACAAACCAAAGAGACATTGTATGACCATCGAAAATGACCTTGCTTTTGCAAATTATTTGAACAGTTTCTATTGTAGGTTTGACATGTGTGATTTTACATCGTAGCAGAAAGTGGCCTTGGACAGTACAGACAGCATACCACCTGTTGATATACAGATCTCTGTAAATGACGTCAAGCAATACTTTCAACGTGTCAACCCACGAAAATCATATCGTCCAGACGGCGTCAGCAGCATGGCACTTCAGGCATGCGCAGACCAGCTCGCATTACCGTTCCAGAAGCTGTTCCAGCCATCACTGAACAGTGGGGTGATTCCAGTCTTATGGAAGAAGTCGCTGATTTTCCTAGTACCTAAAAACAACAGGCCAAAAGAAAAGAAAGATTTATGCCCTGTAGTCCTGACACCTGTACCTATGAAATGTTTTGAAAAAAGAATTCAAAAACAAATTCTCTCTCGTCTCTCATCCCAATTAGATCCAAACCAATTCACCTTTCGTGTTGATGATGCGTTACTGGGCATGCTGAACAATATCTATGAACATTTACAAAAGGCAAATAGCCTAGTGAAAATTATATTATTTGACTTCAGTAGTGCATTTAACACCACCCAACCCCACCTACTGGTGAATAAGCTGGTGAATTTGGGTGTCAACTCTCTACTGATCAAGTGGAGTAATAGTTTCCTTGTGAACCATACTCATCAAGTGAAGTTGAACTCCGCCATCTCTACATCTAGAACGGTGAATACGGGAGCCCCTCAAGGTTGCGCACTTTCACCGATACTGTACACACTGTACACAAACGATTTTCAAGCCTCCGACTCAGACCACAAATTCTTTAAATATGCAGATGACACCGCTGTTGTAGGTTTCCTCCCCCCAGACCAAGCCTCTTCAAGGTTTTAACAGAGAAATGGCAAAGTTTGTCCAGTGGTGCGCAGATAACTTTCTTGAAATAAACGATAAGAAAACAAAAGAGATGGAAATTGATTTCAGAAGGAACAAAACTCCACTACCCCCTATGAAGATCAATGGGGAATCAGTCGATAAAGTGACCACATATAAATACCTGGTAATCGAAATAGACAATTAACTGAAATTCAATGACTGTGCCTTTGCAAAGATAAAGAAATTGCAGCAGAGAACGTTTTTCTTTTGCAAACTGAACCATTTTAATGTCGACCGCCATATCTTACAAATGTTCTATAAATCTGTCCTGCAGAGTGTGCTGTCCTTTGGCCTCATATGCGTGTTTTGAAACATGCAAGTGTAAGACCAAGTCAAGCTTCAGCGCTTGATTAAGACGGCGGGAACGATAATTGGTATAGATCAAGAATCAGCCACCAACCTGTACACAAAACTCATCCTCCTAAAACTTGAAAGCGTTTAACAGGACAGTACTCATCCCTTCACTCAAAACTCAGTTACAGCAGCAGGGGCAAGAGACTTCTTCAAAACAAAATCAAAACAGATAGATATGGGGACTGTTTTATTCCAACAGCCATTAGGCTGTATAATAGATAGTCTGTTGGTCCCTCCAGTACACAGCATATTGCACCTTCACTTTAAATGTGTAGCTATAGCACTTTTAATGAATTATATTGTGTAGTTTCTGTGTTTTCATGTTTTATGTACTGTCTTTTTAAGCACATGACCAAATTAATTTCCCCCTGGTGGGATAATCAAGTTGATCTGAATCTGAATCTGAGTCTCATAGCAAAAAGTATAAGGTATTTCTGTTTTTGCTTTGTCAAAACGGGGTATTGTGTGTAGATTGAGAGGATTTTTATTTATTTAATCCATTTTAGAATAAGGCTGTAAAATGTGGAAAAAGTGAAGGGGTCTGAATACTTTTCGAATAATAATAATAATAATAAAATAATAATAATAATAATAATAATAAATAATATGCCATTTAGCAGACGCTTTTATCCAAAGCGACTTACAGTCGTGCGTGCATACATTTTTGTGTATGGGTGGTCCCGGGGATCGAACCCACTACCTTGGCGTTACAAGCGCCGTGCTCTACCAGCTGAGCTACAGAGGACCACAATATTTGAGCTGCGTGCGTATATGAGCTGTGTGCGTATATATATATATATATATATATATATATATATATATATATATATATATATATATATATATATATATATATATATATATATATATATATATATATATATATATATACAGTATCTCACAAAAGTGAGGACACCCCTCACATTTTTGTAAATATTTGAGTATATCTTTTCATGTGACAACACTGAAGAAATGACACTTTGCTACAATGTAAAGTAGTGAGTGTACAGCTTGTATAACAGTGTAAATTTGCTGTCCCCTCAAAATAACACAACACACAGCCATTCATGTCTAAACCGCTGGCAACAAAAGTGAGTACACCCCTAAGTGAAAATGTCAAAATTGGGCCCAAATTGTCAATATTTTGTGTGGCCACCATCATTTTCCAGCACTGCCTTAACCCTCTTGGGCATGGAGTTCACCAGAGCTTCACAGGTTGCCACTGGAGTCCTCTTCCACTCCTCCATGACGACATCACGGAGCTGGTGGATGTTAGAGACCTTGCACTCCTCCACCTTCCGTTTGAGGATGCTCCACAGATGCTCAATAGGGTTTAGGTCTGGAGACATGCTTGGCCAGTCCATCACCTTTACCCTCAGCTTCTTTAGCAAGGCAATGGTTGTCTTGCAGGTGTGTTTGGGGTCGTTATCATTTTGAAATACTGCCCTGCGGCCCAGTCTCCGAAGGGAGGGGATCATGCTCTGCTTCAGTATGTCACAGTACATGTTGGCATTCATGGTTCCCTCAATGAACTGTAGCTCCCCAGTGCCGGCAGCACTCATGCAGCCCCAGACCATGACACTCCCGCCACCATGCTTGACTGTAGGCAAGACACACTTGTCTTTGTACTCCTCACCTGGTTGCCGCCACACACGCTTGACACCATCTGAACCAAATAAGTTTATCTTGGTCTCATCAGACCACAGGACATGGTTCCAGTAATCCATGTCCTTAGTCTGCTTGTCTTCAGCAAACTGTTTGCGGGATTTCTTGTGCATCATCTTTAGAAGAGATGCTCATCTTCCTTCTGGGACGACAGCCATGCAGACCAATTTGATGCAGTGTGCAACGTATGGTCTGAGCACTGACAGGCTGACCCCCCACCCCTTCAACCTCTGCAGCAATGCTGGCAGCACTCATACGTCTATTTCCCAAAGACAACCTCTGGATATGACGCTGAGCACGTGCACTCAACTTCTTTGGTCGACCATGGCGAGGCCTGTTCTGAGTGGAACCTGTCCTGTTAAACCGCTGTATGGTGTTGGCCACCGTGCTGTAGCTCAGTTTCAGGGTCTTGGCAATCTTCTTATAGCCCAGGCCATCTTTATGTAGAGCAACAATTCATTTTTTCAGATCCTCAGAGAGATCTTTGCCATGAGGTGCCATGTTGAACTTCCAGTGACCAGTATGAGGGAGTGTGAGAGCGATGACACCAAATTTAACACACCTGCTCCCCATTCACACCTGAGACCTTGTAACACTAACGAGTCACATGACACCGGGGAGGGAAAATGACAAATTGGGCCCAATTTGGACATTTTCACTTAGGGGTGTACTCACTTTTGTTGCCAGCGGTATAGACATGAATGGCTGTGTGTTGAGTTATTTTGAGGGGACAGCAACTTTACACTGTCATACAAGCTGTACACTCACTACTTTACATTGTAGCAGTGTCATTTCTTCAGTGTTGTCACATGAAAAGATATACTCAAATATTTACAAAAATGTGAGGGGTGTACTCACTTTTGTGAGATACTATATATATATATATATATATATATACAGGTGCGAAAAAAATTAAGAGACCACTGCAAAATTATCAGATTCTCTGGTTGTACTATTTATAGGTATGTGTTTGGGTAAAAATAACATTTTAGTTTTATTCTATAAACTACTGACAACATTTCTCCCAAATTCCCCCCAAAAATATTGTCATTTAGAGCACTTATTTGCATAAAATGACAACTGGTCAAAATAACAAAAAATATGCAGTGTTGTCAGACCTCGAATAATGCAAAGAAAATAAGTTCATGTTCATTTTTAAACAACACAATATTAATGTTTTAACTTAGGAAGAGTTCAGAAATCAATATTTGGTGGAATAACCCTGATTTTCAATCACAGCTTTCATGCGTCTTGGCATGCTCTCCACCAGTCTTTCACATTGATGTTGCGTGAATTTATGCCACTCCTGGTGCAAAAATTCAAGCAGCTCGGCTTTGTTTGATGGCTTGTGACCATCCATCTTCCTCTTGATCACATTCCAGAAGTTTTCAATAGGATTCAGGTCTGGAGATTGGGCTGGCCATGACAGGGTCTTGATCTGGTGGTCCTCCATCCACACCTTGATTGACCTGGCTGTGTGGCATGGCGCATTGTCCTGCTGGAAAAACCAATCCTCAGAGTTGGGGAACAATGTCAGAGCAAAAGGAAGCAAGTTTTCTTCCAGGACAACCTTGTACGTGGCTTGATTCATGCGTCCTTCACGAAGACAAATCTGCCCGATTCCAGCCTTGCTGAAGCACCCCCAGATCATCACCGATCCTCCACCAAATTCCACAGTGGGTGCGAGACACTGTGGCTTGTAGGCCACTCCAGGTCTCCGTCTAACCATTAGACGACCAGGTGTTGGGCAAAGCTGAAAATTGGACTCATCAGAGAAGATGACCTTACTCCAGTCCTCTACGGTCCAATCCTTATGGTCTTTTACAACTCAGCCTGGCTCTTCTTTGCTTCTCATTGATGAAGGGCTTTTTTCTAGCTTTGCACGACTTCAGCCCTGTCCCTATGAGCCTGTTTCGAACCGTCCTCGCCGTGCACTTCACACCAGCTGCTGTTTGCCATTCTTTTTGTAGGTCACTTGATGTCATCCTACGGTTGTTGAGTGACATTCGAATTAGTTGGCGGTCATCCCGGTCAGTAGAGAGTCGTTTTCGCCCTCTGCCGGTCTGTAGCTTTGTTGTCTCCAATGTCTGCTGCTTGACCTTGTTCTTATGAACCACCGTCTTTGAAATTTTAAGGATGGAAGCAACCTGACGCTCACTGTATCCCTCTGCCAGTAAAGCCAGAATTTACCCTTCTTTTCCTCACTCAAAACTTTCCTTTTCAACTCTTTTGGCAAGTTCAATAGTTATTTTTTGATTAATATTACTTTGAGGTACTATTAGCACTGTTTTTGCCATCCAGCTGGTCCTATTGCAAGAGGATAGTGATGACCACAGCAGTGGTTTTTATACTTTTCCTCGTTAAATAAGATGTGGTTCATGTGATCACCTAATCAGTACCTAATTCAGTAGAATGATGTGTGCCTGTGTTGGAATTCAACAGACACTGGAATGGAATGGCTGTCATACATGTAGAGATGCTGATTTAAGAAAAATTTGCAGTGGTCTCTTAATTTTTTCCACAGCTGTATATATAATATAACACTAGAGAAGCCAACCTTATCTTATCTTATATAACCTTATATATATATATATATATATATATATATATATATATATATATATATATATATATGAGTAAGCTTTGAGGATAAGGTCGGCTTCTCTAGTGTTTTATTTATATCTTTCTCTCTAACACACACACACACACACACACACACACACACACACACACACACACACACACTGTGCAGACCTGTTTGCTCTTTACTGAGACACATCCTGTGGTGTAGATTGAGTCATCCTGTGCAGGGAATGAGTAAGGAGACGCAGGAGAAGGAGGTACTGAAGCAAAAGAGGAGATGGACTGAGGAGAACGGTAGGGGAACAAAGCACAGTGGAGGATAGAGGGAGGACTATAAAGTATGGCAGAGGATAGAAGGATGAAGGGAGCGTTTTCAGGGAGGGGAAGAATAACTGATGATATGTGAGAGATCTGAGAGAGTATGTGTGTGTGTAGAAATGTGAAGAGAACAGTTGAGAGAGAGGCCAGACTGAAAAGAGAGAGCGGGGGTGGGGGTGGGGTGGGGGGGGGGGGGCTTCATTTAAAGCATCTGTCACCACACTATTAGACACACACACACACACAGCGAGAGTGATAAATAGAAAGTGTGAAGTACATAGCCATAATGGTAAAAACATTGCCTCAGCTTCAAATGATTTAGGAGCTTCTGATACATTTTTAACACAATGCCCTGTAGGCATCTAACAAAAAAAGTTTTTAACATGTGTCAAGTCACTGAGACACTGTGTCAGGACAGTAATGATCAGACAAAGTGTGTGTGTTTGTGTTTGACAGTGAGTGTGTGACACTGTGTGTGTCCATGTTGTGGTTACAGTGAGCTGAAAGATCCAGTGAATCGAGTCCCTTGTCATTTCAAGGTGAGCCGAATGTTTTACCCTCCAATTGGCGGCTGGAGAGTGTGTGTGTGGGTGGGTGGGAGAGTGTGTGTGTGCATATGTGTGTGTGTGTGAGGGATGCGTTACTGCACAGTAATCAAACCTTGCTCTCGACCACTAACAGAACAGGACACTGTAGTGTATAGGTCTCTGGTGAGAGCTCCTTTGATGTAGGGATAGGGTTACAACAGAAACAACTCGATGGTTAAGTTTAGCCATTAATTCAGAAAGGTTAAGTTAAGGGTTAAGGTTTGGGATATGATTACAACAGAAACAACTCAATGGTTTAGTTAAGCCATTAATTCAGAAATGTTAAGTTAAGGTTTGGGATAGGTTCACAACAGAAACAACTAGACGGTTAAGTTTAGGCATTAATTCAGAAATGTTAAGTTAGGGTTAAGGTTTGGGATAGGGTAAAAAAACAACAACGAGTGCTTAGCACTGGGATTGAACACACGACCCTTGGAACAGGAGCTTGTGTCTTACGCCCACCCACCATCCCTGTCCACAACACCCTAGCAAACCGCAAGCCTACATAATTGTTATAGTGCTCACCATTGCCCCCTAGTGGCCAGTTTTTAAATAATCTCCCGACGTCCTGGCTGCCTGGATGGACGTCAAATTTAGCCTCTTAAACGACCTGGCGGGTGTGTGTGTGTGTGTGTGTTTGTGTGTGTGGATTAGGGATTCAGAAGTGGGACAAGGAAAATAAGTGGGGGGAGAGGATTACATGTATACTTTAGAAAAATATAAACGCAACATGCAGCAATTTCAAAGATTTTACTGAGTTACAGTAAGCATCTCTTTGTTTATGCTTTGTCTTCTAAGTTAACCTTGGGATCTACACTGAACAAAAATATAGTTCATATAAGGAAATCAGTCAATTGAAATAAATTAATTAGGCCCTAATCTATAGATTTCACATGACTGGGAATACAGATATGCATCTCTTGGTCACAGATACCTTCAAAAATTCAGAGCATCCCAAACATGCTCAATGGGTGACATGTCTGACGAGTATGCAGGCCATGGAAGAACTGGGACCTTTTCAGCTTCCAGGAATTGTGTACAGATCCTTGCGACATGGGGCTGTGCATTATCATGATGAAACATGAGGTGATGGCGGCTGATGAATGGCATGACAATGGGCCTCAGGATCTTGTCACGGTATCTCTGTGCATTCAAATTGCCATCGATAAAATGCCATTGTGTTCGTTGTCTGTAGCGGATGCCTGCCCATTCGATAACCCCAGCGCCACCATGGGGCACTCGGTTCACAATGTTGACATCAGCAATCCACTCGTCCACACGACGTCATACACGTGGTCTGCGGTTGTGAGGCAGGTTGGACCTCCTGCCAAATTCTCTAATTTTTGAATGAACATTCAATTCTCTGGCCACAGCTCTGGTGGACATTCCTGCAGTCAGCATGCCAATTGCACGCTCCCTCAAAACTTGAGATATCTGTGGCATTGTGTTGTGTGACAAAACTACACATTTATTTATTGTCAACAGCACAAGGCACACCTGTGTAATGATCATGCTGTTTAATCAACTTCTTGATATACCACACCTGTCAGGTGGATGGATTATCTTGGCCAAGGAGCAATGCTCACTTACAGGGATGTAAACAAATTTGTGCACATTTTAGAGAAATAAGCGTTTTGTGCATATGACACATTTCTGAGATATTTTATTTCAGCTCACGAAACATGGGAAAAACACTTCACATGTTGAGTTTATATTTTTGTTCAGTGTACTTGTATCTTTGTGATTCTTTAACTTTGGGGTTAACAGGAGAAACACACACACACAACTGGAGGGGTAGTGAAGTGTAGCACGTATTCAATACTCTTGTCTCTATTCAGACTGATCTTTTCTTATTTTTCTATACTTCTTCTTCCTCTGTTCTCCTCTTCTTATCACCCCCCAATTTCCTCCCTCCTCCTCACCCTCCTCTCATTATCTCCAGTTACTCCCTCCTTTATCTGTGTCCCCTTTTTCCTCTAAATATTCTCCACATTTCATTCCTCTATCTCATCTCTCTCTTCCCTATCACTCACTGTCTCTCTCTTCCCCATCACTCACTGTCTCTCTCTTCCCCATCACTCACTGTCTCTCTCTCTCCCATCACTCTATCAATTAACCCTCAGTCTATACCTCCTCTCTCATCTCTCCATCAACCTGACCCTCCATGCCCTCTCTCTCTTCCATCCATATATCATTAGCCCACTGTATCTCTCTTTTCTCATTCTCATCCTTCCTTCCTTTCTGTCTGTCTGGTAATCAGGATGTCTGGGTCTCTGTAGTCTCTCACTCTGTCACTGGCCTGATAACACACACACGCATACATTTGCACGCACGCACGAATGCACGCACAAACATGAACACACACACACAAACACACGCACGCACACACACGCATGCACGCATAGATGAACACCAACACACACCAACACTCCCTCTCTCTCTCTCTCTCTCTCTCTCTCTCTCTCTCTCTTTCTCTCTCTCTCTCTCTCTCTCTCTCTCTCTCTCTCTCTCGCTATATATATTTTCCTCTCACCATTTCTTTGCTTTTCTCCCTCCTCTATCTTTCTCTCACCTCCTTTTGTCTCTCACCCCATCTGTCACCCTCCCCCGTTCTGTCTCTCTAACTCTCTCTTTCCTCTCTCCTCTCCAGAGATACTCCTCAGTCTAAATACATATATTTGTCATAACCTATAGATTAACCATCATAGTCTCTCTAGCTCCCTTTATATTTCATTAAACCATTCGCTCCTCTCCTCTCTCTGTGCTATCTCTCTGTCTGTCTCTATTCCTCTCCTCCCTCTGTGTTATCTATCTGTCTGTCTGTTTCTACCTCTTCTTTCATCAATAAGCTCTCACAGTCTCACTGCAGAATCCGACGTTTGTCTATAAACTTAACATTTTAAAGGTTAAGTTTAGGCATTAATTCTGAATGGTTAAGTTAAGGGTTAAGGTTTGGGGAAGGGTTAAAACAAAAACAAAAAAGTGTTTGCCTAATGCTGGGATTGAAGACGTGGCCCTCGGAGCCAGAGGTTAAATTAAGGGTTAAGGGTTGGAATAGGGTTAAAACAAGTGCCTAGAACCAGGATTGAACACGCAACCCTCGAAGCTGGGAGCCTACTTGATGGTAATAGCTCACCGTTGCCCCTAGTGGCCGGTTTTGAAGTAATCTCCCGACGTCCTGGGTACCAGGACAGACGTCGAGTTTCGCAGTGGATCTTGAGCAACCTTGCTGCTCTCTTCTATCTGTCTACTTATATCTGTGCGTCTACCTCAATGTGTTTACTTTCCATCAGTGCGTGACTGGGCCTCTGTCTTAGAACCCAGAGTACTGAAGGAGGTAAATTGGTGTGGGCAAAAGGGAACAGTGAACATGCACATGAATGGCTATAGACTCTTACACACATGCACGCCACTCACACACACACACTCAAACGTATAGGTACACGTACCCTATGCAGCACACACATCATAAACTAAACATATGCAACACTCACACTCTTATGCCGCATAAACACAAATACGCTTAGATCTGTGTGAACATAAATTGTAGGAGAAGAGAGTATCTGCAGCAATACACTCAGGGACAGCTTTGTGCTTTGAGCTATTCACTAGAGCTAACCCAGTGGAGGTATAACACACACAGCTTTAAAACACCACATCACCGGCTGCACAGAGTTCATTGGGCTTTATATAGCAGAATACACACGCATGGACAAGCACGCACGCACACACACACACACACACACACACACACACACACACACACACACACACACACACACACACACACACACACACACACACACACATACACACATAGCATGCCGTAACAGACTGTGTCAAAGCCTACAGTGACAGATGGATTGGATTACTCACCTGCCACAGTACACCACAATCACAAAGGACAGCACAAACACAAAGAACACACACACTACACAAACACACACACACAGCATCACACATTCAAACACCCTTGCAGGATCAAAGTCACTCTCAATGATTGAGGGGACAAATAGAAACAAATTCTGCATGGGCACTTGGCAATACAAACCCACCACTATGGGACAATCACATACCAACAGGCAATTACACGAGCCCTAACATACAAGCACTAACTACAACAACACAAACACAACAACTCAAGGGCAGCCTCACAAACACAGGTGTGTTTGTGTGTGTTTGTGTGTGCGTGTGTGCGCGTGTGTGTGTGTTGTGTAATGAATGTTCTCTGTCCACTGATCACTCCTCTATAACTACTGTCCTTCATCCCTCTCTCACTCACCTCCACTCCTTTCTACGCTCTTCCTCTGCTCCCATCCACACACCTCTTTTCTCTCCTCTCCTCCTTTCTCTGTCACACTCCTCCAGTTAGTCGTCTGTCTTAGTCCAGCTCTTGTTCCCCCCGCTGTCACTCTCTTTCTCTCTCTCTGTCTATGTTGCTGACTCCCGTGCTCCGCGGCGCCAACTGATCCTCTGCTTCTCTCTCACCCCCCCCCCCCCCTCTCTCTCTCTCTTTCACCCTCTCACTCTCTCTGTCTCTCTGACCCACCCTATCTCTCTGTTTCCCCCCCCCTCTCTCTCTCTCTCTCTCTCTCTCTCTCTCTCTCTCTCTCTCTCTCTCTCTCTATCTCTCTATCTCTCTCTCTCACGGTCTCTCTCTCTCCTTTCTCTGTCTCTCTGTCTCTCTCACCTGTGTTAATCCAGTGTGTGTCCTTGTTTCCCTGGCTGTGTCTGCTGTGTCTGCCTACGGTACCAGACCCGACCAGACCTGAGCCGACCAGGGGAAAGTTTGGCAGCACAGAGGTCCCTTCTCCTGGGACACTGGCCAGGGGTGTTGATACACACACACACACACACACACACGCACACGCACACACACACACACACACACACACACACACACACACACACACACACACACACACACACACACACACACACACACACACACACACACACACACACACACACACACACCAGGGTTGGAGTCAATTCTGAATTTCTGAATATAATTCAATTTAACCTATGAATTAAAATTCTAATTTGAATTGGCCAACCCCACAGGAAGCAACATTTGAATTGAATTGTAATTCAAGGAATTAAATTCAAACCAATTCAAAGAAATTCAACTGAGACATGGAATATACAGTATGAGTCTCATTCTACCACCGCTTACTCTAGAATACTAATAAAAATTAGTATGATTATTACTCAATGATGTCAAGTAGTATTTTGTTAGTATTTTTGTCATGTGATGGTAGGTTGTTCCATTCTGTTCCAGCGTGTCCAGGAGTGTTTGATCTAACGCATTCTGGGAAAAAGTCTATTTTTTACATCTTTTATAACATGAAATATTAGATATTAACCTACAAAATATTCTTAGAATGTTTCCAGACCACTGTAATTATGTAAAACAACTTTTAGGAGGATGAGTTTCAAAAATGAAATGTTTGAAGAACATTAAACTAAAAAAATAAACATGCATAATGATGCACTTGAATGTAAATGAATTTCTACTTCCTATAATTCAAATTCTATTCAAATTCAAGAATTGAATTGAAATTAAAGACCAATTCGCAACTCAATTCAGAATCGACCCCGACCCTGACACACAAATGCACACACTCGCACATACACGCAGACAGATACATGCATGCATGCACACAAACACACACACACACACACACACATGCACACAAAAACACGTGCGTACACACTCTCTCACACTCACACACACTCTCTCAAGCACCCTCCCTCGACCTCTCTATTTATTGATTCCCTGCATTTCTCTGCTCCTTAACACTGTCTTTGGCACTACCTCTCCCATTCTCCATCTACCTATATCTATCTAGAGAATATCTATAATATCTGTCTATATCTATTAATTCTATATCTATCTACACTACCGTTCAAAAGTTTGGGGTCACTTAGAAATGTACTTGTTTTCGAAAGAAGAGCATTTTTTTTGTCCATTAAAATAGCATCAAATTGATCAGAAATACAGTGTAGACATTGTTAATGTTGTAAATGGCTATTGTAGCTGGAAAGGCTGATTTTTAATGGAATATCTACATAGGCGTACAGAGGCCCATTATCAGCAACCATCAGTCCTGTGTTTCAATGGCACGTTGTGTTTGCTAATCCAAGTTTATCATTTTAAAAGGCTAATTGATCATTAGAAAAGCCTTTTGCAATTATGTTAGCACAGCTGAAAACTGTTGTGCTGATTAAAGAATCAATAAAACTGGCCTTCTGAGACTAGTTGAGTATCTGGAGCATCAGCAATTGTGGGTTCGATTACAGGCTCAAAATGGCCAGAAACAAATAACTTTCTTCTGAAACTCGTCAGTCTATTCTTGTTCTGAGAAATGAAGGCTATTCCATGCGAGAAATTGTCAAGAAACTAAAGATCTCATACAACGCTGTGTACTACTCCCTTCACAGAACAGAGCAAACTGTCTCTAACCAGAATAGAAAGAGGAGTGGGAGGCCCCCGGTGCACAACTGAGCAAGAGGACAAATACATTAGATTATCTAGATTGAGAAACAGACGCCTGATAGGTCCTCAACTGGCAGTTTCATTAAATAGTACCCGCAAAACACCAGTCTCAACATCAACAGTGACGAGGCGACTCCAGGATGCTGACCTTCTAGGCAGAGTTGCAAAGAAGAAGCCATATTTCAGACTGGCCAATAAAAAGAAAATATTAAGATGGGCAAAAGAACACAGACACTGGACTTTTTCTTTGCAACTCTGCCTAGGTCAGCATCCCGGAGTCGCCTCTTCAATGTTGACGTTGAGACTGGTGTTTTGTGGGTACTATTTAATGAAGCTGCCAGTTGAGGACCTGTGAGGCGTCTGTTTCTCAAACTAGACACTCTAATGTATTTGTCCTCTTGCTCAGTTGTGCACCGGGGCCTCCCACTCCTCTTTCTATTCTGGTTAGAGCCAGTTTGCGCTGTTCTGTGGAGGGAGTAGCACACAGCGTTGTACGAGATCTTCAGTTTCTTGGCAATTTCTCGCATGGAATAGCCTTCATTTCTCAGAACAAGAATAGACTGATGAGTTTCAGAAGAAAGTTATTTGTTTCTGGCCATTTTGAGCCTGTAATCGAACCCACAATTGCTGATGCTCCAGATACTCAACTAGTCTCAAGAAGGCCAGTTTCATTGCTTCTTTAATCAGCACAACAGTTTTCAGCTGTGCTAACATAGGGTTTTCTAATGATCAATTAGCCTTTTAAAATGATAAACTTGGATTAGCAAACACAACGTGCCATTGGAACACAGGACTGATGGTTGCTGATAATCGGCCTCTGTACGCCTATGTAGATATTCCATAAAAAATCAGCCGTTTCCAGCTACAATAGCCATTTACAACATTAACAATGTCTACACTGTATTTCTGATCAAAAAAAATATTTTATTTAGAAAACAATGACATTTCTAAGTGACCCCAAACTTTTGAACGGTAGTGTATATCTATTTATCTATATCTATATTTGTCTATATTTTCTATATCTGTCTATATCATACTGTGTCTATCTATATCTATCTATATCTATATCTCTGTATCTCAGTCTGTGTTACATGCTCTATAACTGATGTCCTTCTGTCTGTACTTGTCTTACTGTCCCACTTTCTCCCCTTTCTTTCCCCCCTTCTCTCGCTCTCACTCTCTCTCTATTCTCTGTTTCTGGGTCTCAAGTGTCTGAGAAGCTATTTAGGACTCCCCCTCGCTGTTTCGCACCCTCCCTCTCGCTCAGTCTCTCTCATTCACAAGTTCAAGAGAGAGAGAGAAAGGTGACTTGTGAAGGGAGCATGTGAAAAGAGTTAGAATAGATTTAAAATCTGAAATAAGAGACACATACATCAGTAGTTTAGCCACTGGAGAGAGAGGAGAGGGACCTCTCAACACTCCCTTAGTGTGACATGGATAGAGATAGCGGGATGGAGAGGAAAGAAAAGAGAGATCATAAGAGAGAAATCAACTTGTTTTTCTTATTGTTGAATGGTGCATGTTTATGTGTATGTTTTTATTAACGGAGTTATCTTTTTTGATATTCCCTTGTATAATCAGTGATAAATTGGGGTCTTATGAATCTGTGTGTGTGTTCCCTTGGATGTCCGCTGATAAAGTGTGTGTCTGAATGTTCTGACCCCTACCAAAAATAACGAGTGATGTATGCGACACAGAAAAGTTGTCGACTCACCTTGTGTCAAGTTTCAATTGATCTCTGCTGAGATGAGCAGGGGAATATCTGTGTGTGTATGCGTGTGTGTGTGTGTGTTTAACTATAGTTGTGGGGACCAGAAGTCCCCACAAGAATAGTAAACGAACAGAAGTTTGAGAAACTATGCCATTTCTAGGGGGTTTAGGGTTAAGGTTAGAATTAGTGTTAAGGTTACAATTAGGTTTAGGGTTAGGAGCTAGGGTTAATTTTAGGGTTAGGAGCTAGGTTTAGGGTTAGGGTACAGTTTAGGGTTAGGGGTTAGGGAAAATTGGATTTTAATGGGACTGAATTGTGTGTCCCCACAAGGTTAGTTGTACAAGACTGTGTGTGTGTGTGTGTCTGTCTGTGTGTGTGTGCGTGCGTGTGTGCGTGTATGCGTGTGTGTGTTACAATCTATGTAAATTACATTGGTAATGCTGTAAAAAATATATATTCATTTGTATGCATATTATACAGTTTTATTCCATTGCTCCATCGGTTGGCCAAGCCTTTTCACATTTGATGTCTGATTTTCAAGCACTGCAGAGGTCACTATTGGATCTAAAGTTAGTGCTAAATGCAAACAAAACAAAATACATGCTTTTTTCTAGGTCCCATAACCCAGATTTAAAGGAATTTGTAATGACTAGTTTGAATGGTACACAAATTGAGCGAGTTCCTTCCTACAAATATCTTGGTATCTGGCTTGATGACAAACTGTAATTTAAAAAACATGTCACTGAGCTGGTGAAGAAGTTGAAATTCAAGGTTGGTTTCTTTTACAGAAACAACGCATGTCTGACTTTTGTTAATAGGAAAGAAATTGTCCAGGCCACTTTCATGTCAATTTTAGATTATGGGGATATTATCTACATGCATGCAGCAACATTTACACATAAACCACTAGACACTGTTTTCCATTGTGCCCTTAGATATATTACTGGTGATGGTTATGGAGCTCACCATTGTGTTTTGTATCAAAACGTGGGTTGGGCGTCTTTGTATTTACATTTACATTTTAGTCATTTAGCAGACGCTCTTATCCAGAGCGACTTACAGTTAGTGCATACATTATTTTATCGAACCCACAACCCTGGCGTTGCA